TATGGAGGGGATGAACGAAGGTCTTACGGGTTTGAAACGACATGAGGGTGAGTAATTAATGACAGAATTTTCATTTTTGGGTGAACTAACCCTTTAACATTTTTCTTTATAGAAAATACTAAAACATCTAGGTTTAAATGAAAAAAATGTATAAATAAAGATTTACAAATGTAGTCCCAGACTTTTTTGAATATATGATCATTTTATTTTAATTATTTAAAAAAAATAAGATAATCAAGTGTTTTTTTTTTTTTTTTCCCAAAACATTTTTCCCACACATCCAGTGCTATATGCATCTAAACAGTCAATAGCTCTCATGGACAGTTGTGTTTCAGCGTTTAGCAGACTGTGCTCCCTCCAGCTATCCGTGATCACACAGACTTACTGCTTCCGGCAAAGAGAGAGAGAGAGAGAGAGAGAGAGAGAGAAACTCTCAGTGGCTGCACCTTAATGCAATGATTATATGTTTGCCTCTATAGTTGTCAGAGCACTGGATCAAACAGCCTAATGACACCTTGTCATTGCCAAGTGGCTGTGTTTTCCAAAATTGTTTTCCTGCTGATTTGTGACACCTTGCCTGAGCAAATAAATAAGAGAGAGTCGACTGCTAGAGGAAAACAAAAGGAAAACAATAATCTCTTTGGTTGCAGATCCACTCTGAAATTTTACTTTCAACAAATAAATGGCTTAAATATTTGAAGTCCGGATAAGATCAGGAATACACTTCTGTCCTTTGTACAGTGACTGCACATCTGAGACGTTTTGTGCTACTCTCTCGAAAATGACTGGATGTGACTTTTCTTTTTAAGTTTTTCTAATTACTAAAACGGAATGATTATTGGTCATGATTAGAGAAAGTTATGTCGTTGGTAATGACGATAGAAATCAGGGCTGAACAACTATTCTGCTGGCCTGGTTTGGCCAGTTGTTCAAAATGTATTGAATTTTTTTTGTAGAAATATATTTTTAAATCTTCCACGTCAGAAACATTCTTAATTTTTTATGTAATTTTTATTATATTTATTTTCATTATTTACATATTTATTAGTTTTTAATTTGCAATAATAGATAGTAGCTATAATGCAACGGCATAAGAGCTATACATTTCTGAAAAAATATGGAATATTTTTCTTAATGATTTCAACCCAGTTTTACTGATGCTTCCCAGACTGTCTATAAATCATTCTAGCCATTTTTAACAACCTCATTTGTGTTAGCCAGCTTGTATGAATTAGCAGAATTCACAGCAACACAATTCAGTTAAAAAAAAGGAAAAGACAAATGTTGTTTGTTTGTTTGTTTAAAGGATCCCAATAAGTTTTTAACTAGAACCTTATCATAATGACAGCGTTTGGTATAATTTACGAGAAATTTGCAAACTCAGGCACTATTTATAATATTGAATCACAATAATGTCCCTAACAATAAAGAACAACTGATTATGTCTTGAGCTTTTTTTTTTTGTCTTGTCTCTCGGCTGACTATCGCCTGCCTTTTTTCTACCCTTCCACTTGACGATTATTATTTCCATTCATAAGCTTAAACTAAATTCCTCTGCTTTTCAGCATAAGAACTCCTTTTGTTAATGGCACACTGTGGGATTGAAGCTCGGCGCCAGGCAGTGGTGAAAACAGATAAAATCATTACCTCTCAAATAGTCTCTTCTCTGTCGGAAAGGGCTTTCTTTTCTTCTAAAATATAGGCTTTAGAATTCCATTTCTCTTAGAGCTAATGTGAATTTTACTGCCTCTAATTTTGGATTCAAGTGCGGCCTAGAATAAAAATCCTCCATCTGACAATTGAATTTATAGAGAGTTGTGAATATTGCAGGTTTGGATTAATAGAGTCATAGAATTTCAAAGAGCAAGAGAAAGAGAGCAAGAGAAAGAGAACGCTAATAACTTTCAGTCAAAGTTATAGAGCAGGGTGTCTCCTGTTGAGAACCTTAAGAGCGGCGCTGTAAAGCACGAGGGGCTCTTACAATGCTGGCCCTTTCCTCTTTTGTTACCCGTCGTTTTGACTTCACACTCTCTGTGTCACTCAGGACAGGAGGCGGGTTTCTCAGCTGCCCCACAAAAACCAGTTTGTCTTCGTTACCCAAAATAGAATGAGAGAATATGTTGCGAGTGTAAACAGTCAGTGCTTGTGTTTTCACTGATTTTAACCGGCTTTACACTGTGTATAAATACACAACATGCATCCTTGACATTACTGGAATGTTCTAGAATACCTTTGTGGCCCTCCGCACACCCCAGGACACCTGTCTTCGAGTACGAGTATGAGTGTGTGTGTGCGTGTCGGTGGTGCATCAGTAGAAGTGTAATAGGAGCTTTTTCATAATCGATTGCCTCTCACTGCAATACAAGGAAACAGGTGCCTTGACTCAGCACATTTTGAGCTTTTACACCAATAGTTATACGTTCACCTATTCTTAAGATTTCAGTAGTGCAAATTTTTGTATTTTATTTTATTTTATTTTTTCATTGAGTTACCCCAGACCCTGATACAACAAATGACAGAGTTAATAATTTTAATACTATAAAAAATTTATTATTATTATTATTATACTTTTTTAATTATCCAGTAATTCAATGTATTTAAAATTGGTTCATATTACTAAAAAATTTAACTGGGCCAGTTCTCATTTGTTCTTGGCCTGCCAATATTTTCACTGGTCTCACGGCAATATATTTTTTTTTGTAAAAATACATATTTAAATCTTATTTAAATATAATCAAATTTTTTGTGTTTTATTTGATTTATTTTATTTTATATACTAATGGCATTATTAGCCAGCTAGATCTTGGCCATGCTTAAAATTCATTAGTCAAAGTTCATAGTGCTAAAATGTTTTCTCATGTGTTACATTCCTAGAATCCAAAAATTAATTTTTTTGAAAAATATTTTTTTCCAATATATGCTGTTTGATCTGTTTCTGTAAAATTCCTTTGAATATTAAGGTGGTCTGGTTTCTTTAACGATCTCCCTCATTCACTCTCACACTCTCTCTTGCTCTCTTGCTTTATGGGCCTCAGAAGAAGTAATCTTTTACAAGCCGACCGGATTTTAGAGCCCTCATTTAGAAGCGGGCTTCCTTAATTAAAAAGACCTTTGTGTGGTCTTCCAGACTGTCTCTTTTATTTGTCCCCCTCCATCTCCATGTTAAAATGGTCCTGATGTGTTGTCTGTATAAATCCTCCACGATTTTCTTTCTGTCTCTATTACGACTTTGTTCCTCTGCCATCATCTCGCTTTTCACACACCTTACTGCTAATGCAGTTAAGGGAAAATAGAGAGCGCGTTTGAGTGTGACCTCACACTCAGTCTATTTGAAATCACAACCCCCAAAACCTTTGAGGATTTTAGAGAAACAAACAGTCCCTGAACGATCACATTTTGCTAAATGTAGATACTGAAGTGCAGCTAATTGACACGGTTTGGTGAAGTGCCGCTCTCCACCCCACTACGCCCTGCAGGACCCAGCTCAGGGTCTTCTGGATTGTTGACAGGGGAAACGGTTAATCCACTCTTGCAGGCCTTGAAGCCTCCTGTAAGACAGAGCAGAGATATCTATTAATTACAGCGCTCATTAATAGGCCTCACTCCCAGGGCTGTGTGGGTGGAGGGGTGGTTCAACTAAATGGGTTGGCGGTATCGAGCGATATGGGCGGGGTGGGTGGGGTGGTCGGCCTGCTCTTTTGTTTGGCTTTGAAGAGTCTCTACTTTTGACTATGTGGGTGTCTGTTTGTGTTACTGGATTGATACTGGATCTTTGTGTCTGTCTAGCTGATTTTTTGTTTTCTGTCAGTCGATGCGTGTGAGCGTGCGTGTGTGTGAGCGTGCGTGTGTGTGTGTGTGTGTGTGTGTGTGCGATGGTGACTGGCCACGGGCGAGGATGATGGAACTGCTTTGTGCCTCCGCACTGATTAGAGTCATGTAGAACAAGTTGATATTGACTGGAAAGTGAGTGATGGCGCTGAGCTCTCCGTTCTGTCCCTCTCTCTTCCGCCCTGCAGACGCTCATCTGTCATGGTGCATTTGATCACCGGATTCCACCTCTTGATCCATAATCACAAGAAAAGGCCTTTAGCACTTTTTGGTGGAGATAGACAATTTTGGTCCATGAGAAATGACAGGATTTGACTCATGCTTTGTAACTCGACAGTAAATAACTTCAGATAATTATTTGCTCTGTCAAATTAATCTGAATGGTCCGAGTTCAAATTTATATTGAAGAAAAAAAGAATAAATATGTATATATCTTTTGCATATATATATATATATATATGAAATGCAAAAAATATTTGTGCATATATGCAAAAGATAATTATGTACATTATAATCAATTAGAACCTGACTCCACTAAGATTCGTTAAATTGGGCAAATAATGACAAATGCATAAAAACGCGTGCATATAAAATGATAACTGTCAGAAGTTATGTATATATTTAAAACTATTAGGACATGTCTGAGTAGGTTGTGGCACATTTCTTTAGAACTCAATTGGCTGCAAGCTATGCTAGAGTAGCGATGTTAGCTCTCCTCTTTACAGCCTTGTAGATATACAACCATTCAGATACTTTAGTGAGACCCAAGGGACCGTGGCACACTGGCTCTCATATGCCTCTCCTCTTATGTTTCCTCTCAGAGAAGTCATTAACATGCTAAAAAAATAGAATTCTGAATTCACAATCAGGGGCTTTTTTTAGCTGCTGAATCCTCTGTTCTCTCAGGCTAAGGCACAGATGGACCCATGTGCAAAATGGAGAGTTGCTGGGGGGGCTGGGTTGTATGTTTCTTTTTCTTTTGTTTTTCTCAATGGCTTGGTATTGGTGACACATTTTAAGTCTCCCCTGCTGAAAAGACCATTTTAGACTAGCCTGAATTTACCAGAATAGGAGCATATAAGTTCTCAGGCAGTCATTTTCTTGGTTTCCACACTACTGTCGGTCATGTTCTAACACTTCTGTGTTTGTCTCATTATGTTTTGTCCATGTAGGCTGCTCTGCAGAATGTCCAGCAAGGACCGCCACATTGAGTCGAGTTGCCCCTCCTACATAAAGACGGAACCTTCCAGCCCTGCCTCACTGACGGACAGCGTAAATCACCACAGCCCCGGCGGCTCCTCAGACGCCAGCGGTAGCTACAGCTCCACCATGAACGGCCATCAGAACGGTCTGGACTCACCCACTCTTTACGGCCCAACCGGTGCTCTGGTTCCCAGCGGAGCCGGAGCCAAGCGTTACGAGGACTGCTCCAGCACCATCACGGAGGACTCGCAGATTAAATGCGAGTACATGCTGAACTCCATGCCCAAGCGCCTGTGTCTGGTGTGTGGGGACATCGCCTCCGGCTACCATTACGGCGTCGCCTCCTGCGAGGCCTGCAAGGCCTTTTTCAAGAGGACCATTCAAGGTTGGCTTTTACCCTCCCTCAGCTAGAACTTCAGCTAAGTTCAGGTGGCAGGCCAAGGGGTCAGAGAGTGAAATACCTAGAATCAGCACAAAGCAATTCCACACATCCAACATCCTCTGGTTTTACTCCACCTAAGCAGCTTTCTGTCCAGTAGACGTGTAAAGCCAGAGGGTGGTAATGCTCTTATTATGGAATTTGCTGCAAAGAAATAAACATTTCCTGTCTTATTCCTTCAGATTAACAAGCTTGATCAGTTATTTCAGAGCTTAGAGGTAATTGAATATACTGGGAAGTTACCCATCTGCTAGTTTTTTAGTAGTGGCAGTGAAGCTCTGAGGAACAAAGTAGGTGCTGAATAAATGGGTCAAATATTATGCTTGGCCTGAACACATTCCAGAAGATGGGAATTTGACATATCGGTATGTTTCATCCGATTAGCCAATAAAACTCTTGGTGATTTCCAAAAACATCCCATCCAGCTGGACATTTATTGACTTCCAGACTGGCTGGTTTTTGAGGGAAGGAGCAGGGTTGGGGAGTTAAGGGATGCAGAGGCGTCAGGACCACGGTTCGGCTGGGGCATTGGGACAGGCGGCGGCACGGGCGCCATGGCCACTCAAATCGATGGCAGCTGGCATTCTGGTGGCACTCCTCCAATGCCACCTGACAACCTGCATCTATCACCTCCCAACTGAGCCACTCGTAGCCAGGCGGTGTGCAAAATATGGGAGGGGAACACCAAGAATGCAACCTTAAAAAGCCCAGAACATTCCCAAATCCATTCCCTACTTCATAGCCATAGCATAAGGTCAGCCCAAGGTCACGTTGTTGCCATGTTCTGGTAATGAGCTTCATTGGCATTTGAGTGCGACTGATGAATGATGGAAGTGTAGCGTTTAGTATGAAGACAGGCAGTGGAAGGAAGCGCTAGGCACATTTTATTTCTTGTTTGAAACCTCTCGGCAGCCGCTTGAGTGATAGACAATGGACATTGCACTAATCGACTGCCATCTAACTCAAATCACATCACTCTATCCTGTCAGCGAACACACACACATGCAGCCTCCTTTCCACTGTGTTGATAACCTGGACACAGCGCTCAAGCCATTGGCATTCAACTACTGGTAGGAAAGCACCTATATTAGATTGGCAAGGATTTTTCCCCCCTCAAAACATTCCCAGCTGGTTAAGACCACTCAACCGGCCTCAGCCCTCATGAGAATCACCTCGCATCTTCACATTCCACATTCATTCCTCCCAATCCAAAGACCCTAATGGATTCTGGAGATTACCTGACTAATGAATATTGGAGCTCAGTTTAATGGACATGCATACTTTAAATACTGTTTCCTGTTGAATTAGCAGTCTTGAGCATTTAGCCCCCCTGCTCGCGCTGCTAATTGCTTTTTAATGAGGAAACATCAGTTCACAGAAGAGAAGTCAATACAAATCAGTGTTTACAAAGTCTGATTAACTCTGAAATATTTCATCAGTGTGGAGGTCCCAGACGGGCGCTATGTTAATTGCATGAGTGCGTGTGTGAGAGAGTCTGTTTCAGCCCAAGAAGTGTGAGTGCACGTATTTGTGTTCTAATGGTTATTCTATTGCACAGATTCTCTCCATACATTGATAGTTACAACACTGCCATAAGCCGTTCCAAACCCTAAATTTGTTAAATTAAATTACTATATCTGGCAAGTAATTCTTATAATACAGCCAAAAAAACTATTTAAATGCTTTTATTGTGTGCCAGATTACTCATCAGGCTTCTATTTGCGTGCTGTTGCAATAACAAGCATATATCATTGCGTTTTCCCCTCTCATAGCATCATAATGCTCAAAGAACACGCTGTAATAGTCTCCTCTATGCCAGGAATCGTAGTAGCAAACTTGTGGCTCTCTGTGTGTGTTGATGTGGGGGATTGGTAGGATGAGGAGCCGTGTTAGTGGTCACCAGGCGATTGGAAGTTCACACAGAGGTGAATTGTGACCTGCAGGTCTTTGTTTAGGTTTAGTAAAGTCTGGCCTGCCTATCCAGCTTCACACAGCTCTGAGACACATGACCTCTGAGGAGAGCCATTGGCACTTTTCTGCGTGACCTTTTGGCTCTCAGTCACACACACATATGTAGATATGATGGGAAGTGATTGCTGTATTTCAGTGTCTTCTTTCGAAGTGACAAATGGAGGTTGGGTGTGCACTTAAAGTATTTTATTTGTTGAGAGTACATCAATACTTTTCTAAAGTTTGAGGTCAGTAAGATTTTGTATTTATTTATTCAGCAACAGTGCATTAAATTGATCAACAGTGGCAGTAAAGACAATTATAATGGTACGAAAGATTTAAATTTAAAATAATTGCTGTTGTTTTGAACTTTTTATTTGTGAATTAAATCAGTTTCCACAAAAATATTGCAGTGATTGATAATATATTTAATAATAATAATAAGAGTAACAATAAATATTTCTTGAGCACCAAGTCAGCATATTAGAATGATTTCTGAAGAATTGTGTGACACTGAAAAATCAGCTTTGCCATCTCAGGAATAAGTTACATTTAAAAAAAATTTTTAAATAGAATCTTTTAAATTGTAATACTATTTAACAATATACTGTATACAGTACAGTATATAACTTATTTGTTTCAAAAACAATAAAGGGGTGGTTCATTGCGATTTCACTTTTTTAACGTTAGTTAGTGTGTAATGTTGCTGTTTGAGCATAAACAATATCTGCAAAGTTACAAAGCTGAAAGTTCAATGCAAACGGAGATATCGTCTTTTAAAATTCTGTCAGTTTAATGCCTACAAAAACGGCTGGTAGGGACTACAACGAGTTACTTCCCGGGTTCGTGACATCACAAACACAGATAAACCCCGCCCTCGGGAAAAAGGCAGCAAAGGGGGCGAGGCCATGCTGCGCTGCTTTAGAGAAGAGGAAGAGAAAACGTCTCCAGGTTACGTATGTAACCATGGTTCCCCGAAGGGAACGAGACAC